AACGCAGCCAGGGACGCACGCTTTTCCTTTTCCTTCATGCTGAGTCTCTCCTGCTCTATTTTGTCACCACCGGTGGGATGAACCTGCCCTAATGACATGATATAAGACTGTAGATCCGAGAGCAAGAACTTCAAATGGCTATTGCCGTCTTGCAGCCACCGTATGCGCACGGAGGCAGGAACGAATCCCCCTCCGCTTTTGTCTACTTCCTCCGGTTTGTTGATCTTTTCCCACGCTTCCACAACGGTGCGAATGTTAGAATTCCTCGGGCTCGTTTTCCCTCGGTTTTTAGACAAGAAGCTTTTTTTATCAAAGGTGGGTGAGATATATGATTTGACTGCCTGATCCTTTTGCACAATATCCTTCTTTTCCTCCAATATGCTCGTATCCGAGTTTTTTTCGAAAAAAGTACAGTAATTACAGAGCGTTCCGAATGTCGTGGCAGCCACTGCGTCTTGAATAGCCTCATTGAGAAGATAGCATTTTTGTTGAAATAGGTTATCCGTCTCGATGTCCGGTTTAAGAAGGGATCCAAACTCTGCCATTGTGTATTTGCTGTTTTTTTCCCTGATCAATTTCGATATTTTTTATCAATATTTATTGATCTTTACTAAATATCTATTGAGGACACATAGAGGAGAAGAGGGGAAAAGTAATGGAGTGAATAAGTTGTCACATGCAGTCACCTGTTCGCTCAAAAAAATGCACAAAATACAGACGAATTCAACAATATGAAAAGTTCTTAGTATTGAGATGAAGTAGTCTTAAATGCACCTCATATTTTCTTTTAAAGATGTTCTGTGTATAAAGCATAAGGTCAAGACTATACATTCACAACAAGAATAGCAATCGTCAGCGCTACAAATTGTTTTTGAGAGAGATAAAGTTGCTAGAAAAAAAAGAATAGGGCTTTTCTACACAAATGACGTTTGTGTGCACGCTATAGCTCACATCCTCAAAGTCCTTTTTATTCAGTCCCTGAATAAAATTAAATATCCTTTAACCTTATAGGCGCTGATTCTTGTTGCAGGCTACGTGTTCGAAATTGTTGGATAATAAAAAAGTTGGCCCATATTGCGTAAAGCGTCGCGAAGGAATAGCAATGTCAAACGGTAATGCCTGACGCTAGATTTAACAGACAATAAATGTCATCAGTGGAATGCTACGCTTCCTGCAGGTCCATTATCAGGGGGTATTTCAGCTTGAAAACAAATGGAAAAGATGATCTTTTATCCAAGTATGATTTCACACCGACATTACCCTAGCTGATCCGCATGATCAAAAAAATGTCGTAAAATGGTGAAAACAAGAAAACGAAATTAAGGATAAAGTGTACTCATAAAAAGAAACACAGAACATTTCCGATATCTATTTTAGTAGTTGGTTCCAATAATGGAAGCTATTAAGTAATCCGAAACTCTTAGAAAGGAAAAAATGATTACCTTCGTTATTATTACACTCTAAAATGCGCCTTAGACTAACTGTAGCGCATCTACACCTAATGCACAATAAACACAGTGCTATAATGAATCATCTACTGCACACACCTGTATAATAGTGATCCCCAGATAAACTGAATACTAGAGAATTAAATATGGAATATCGGCACCAAAGCAAGTTGTGCCTAGTCGCTTTGTCCTTGTTGGGGTTGAGATGAGGTGCTTGGCCAACGAACGTGAGCTAGTGAAAATGATTGAACTCAACAGTAGAAAGAAGGCAAAAGCCGAGATGACTTCATCTCCGACGTTATTTCCACGACTACATACACCTTTTTTTAGGCTTGTTCATGATTCCCCTCCTTTTGTATTATTCAGGCAGCGTCACCAACGCCCGCTGCTTCGCGATGAGATCCGCCACCGAAGGCAGTTCTCGGGGGGGTAATCCCAACACTTTACGGCGGGCCGCCTCCATTCGCCGAAAAGTTTCAATCTCCTCCTCGATGGCGTTCTTCGCCTCCGTTGTGAAGACGCTGGTCTCCGACAAGAGCGAGGAGGACTGCCGGTAGAGCGCCAACAAATCGCCGTCGATGATGTGGTGGGTGGGGCTTCCCCTCACCGCCCCCACGCGCGGGGCATTAGTGCGGTGGTCGTAGGGCAGCCGACCGGCCCCCGGCGCGAGCAGTGCGCGGAGGTGGGCAGTCAGAACGGGCTGGACGTAGGCCGCCATCGCCGCGTCCTCCTCGGAGACGAAGGGGACATAGGCCCCGACCCGCCCCATCGCCGTTGCGTAGAAGAGAATGTCAATGGCGAGGCTAGGGTCGGCGCCCTGGCTGGGGTTGTAGGGCCGCACCTGCAGTCCGGTGATGATCTCCCCGGCGTGGTGGCAGGCGACCTCCTGCAGGTCCTGCTCCTTGGCGATAAACCGCCCCACCGCGTCCAGCTCGAGGTCAGACATCTGCTCCATCGGGAGGGCGAACCGCGTGCGGGTGGTGTCCGACAGGCGGAGGAGGACGACGTGGCCAAAGCGATCCGCCACGGCGAGGGTGTGGTCGTCTTGGAAGACCGCGAGCGCGGTGAGGCTGCGCGGGACCGCGTCCTGGGCGACCACCATCAAAAACGACGGCGTCCCCGCGGCGCTGCCGGGCTGTAGCGCGGCGACGATGACGGAATGACTCATCGTCGCGCAGATCACCAAAAGCTGCTTCTCCATCGCCTGCCGCCGCGCCTCCGGGCGGTCGAAAGGGCAGTGATAAAGATCCGGAAGGAAGTACTTCGACAGGGCGCTTTTATCCACCGCCTCGCCGGCATTTACCCCACGGTTGCTGGGGGGGGTAAAGAACATCGTCTCGATGGCAACAATCCGCGATGGGAAATTAGGAAGCTGGCGTTTTCGCAAAAATTGCTGTTGGCCCCAGACGTAAATACGTAACCCGTTTTGAGGTCCGAGGCCGACCAAAAGCAGTCCCACATCCTCGCAGATATGCACCGCGGAGGGGTAGTCAGGGGCACCCAACGCGCTGTTAAGACTCGCTCCAAGGTGGTTTAAAGCCCCTTCATGGCTTAACTCACCCGAGGGGGTTGTGCGGATTAGCGTGTTGTGCAAAGGTTCCAGGCGCAGAATGGGGTTCCCCTCACTATCCATCATCACCGTCCGTTGCGGCGCCGAGGCACCACTGGTATTTCCATGCGTCCCACCCGCAGGGGTCGCGGCGTAGCTTGTAAAGCGAAACGCGCGCAGCCAGCCTTGCGTCCACGACGGTGCTTTTCCACACCCCGCCCCATGCGTGTACTGCGAAGCAGCCCCCACCACTACCACGGGTTCTCTGCCAAAATCCGCCTGGAAGCTCCCGACGGCGACGCTCGAAATCCCATCTCCTTCTGGGAGGTAGTAGGGCGGGAAGACATGATTGCTATCCTTCACAAAAAGCTGCAGGGAGCTGTTGTAGTGATCCTTCAGACCTAAAGCCCGCTGAGGCGCGTCGAGTGGAATTCCATAAGCATTTGGATCCGCCGCTGCCTCGCGTCGACTTCGCTCGACTGCTTTCATACCATGACTGCGGTGCTCCGTGCTTGCGATAATAAAATACGAAGGTCGGGTGGGGTGCTGGAGAATACGCCGCCCCTCCAGCGGTAGCGGGTGGGTGCTCATGCTGTACTCCATGCCTCTCCCGCCACTGCCTCCCGTCTTCTGCGCGATAAACAACGACAATTCGCGGTTTCGAACCGCAATAACGTGCTCACCTCCACCAGAGGCGGCGTCCCCACCGTTATTGCCATCGATAAGCATAAACTGGTTCCCTTCTTCATCCTTGACAATGCTACCACCGCCCGCTTCTTCGTCTTGAACCTCTTTGTCAAGCTTTTCATTTTTAATCGGCTGCTGTTGTTTGGGAGGAAGAATAAACGGCACGAAGGCCGTCTGTCGGGAGGGAAACCGCCACGGGACCATCTTCACGACCCCATCCCACAGCTCACAGCGCCAGCAATCCTTCCCAGACTGAATATAGCAAAGCGTATCCCCATCCCCCGCAATTGTCTGGCAAGGCGCGCCGCCGCAGCTCAACTCCACACGATCGATAAGCTTCGCGGTGACAGGGTCGAGCTCGCAGCGGGTGAGGGTGCCGTCCATGTGCCCGATCAAGCAGAAAAGCCGCCGCGTGAGGGAGAGCTGCCGGCCGCCCCCGCCGAGAAACGTGAGCAAAACGGAGACGACGCCCCCTTCCCCCTCGCCGCCGTCCGATTGGGGGCGGCGGCAGTTGATCTTTTCGAGGGGCTCCCGCAACTTGGACGGGTCGAGGAGGTAGACCTCCTGCGTGATCGTGGCGACCGCCGCGAGCTCCCGGCCCCCGCCCGCCGCGTCGCCCTCGAGGGTGTGGGCGGTCTGCGCGAGCAGCGAGTGCAGGGCGCTGTCGGAGAGGCTCGCGGACGCCACCGCGGCGACCGTCGAGGACGACGTGGCGTTTAAAAGCAGGCTTAGCAGGCCCCGGCCCGCGCCGCCGCCGCCGCTGTTCTGGGGAATCCGAAGCAGCGAAATGGCCTGCGCGGTGGGGAAGGTGGGGAGGGCATCCCACTGCGTCAGCGGCAGCGCCGAGGCGGTGGGGTTCATCCCGACCCGGAAGCTCGTGATGCCGCCCTTCATGAAGGAGACGAGAATCGTCGAAGAGGTCGTGGCGGCCGCCAGAAGAAGTTTGCCGTGCGGGTCCGTCCAGCTGCTCGGCTCCAGGACGTTCGGGGGGGCCAATGGCGCCTGCGATGGCGGCGGATCGGCCGTCGAATCCTTGGATACGGAGTCGAAGGTGGTGGGATGGTCACTCGTAGGGCTTACCGGCAGGACATAAATACCGCGTGGGATGACCTGGATATATCCCTGGCCCCACGGCAGCGTCGCCGCCGCGAGCGTGCGCTCCGCCGTGGCGAAGCCGCTCCAGTTATCGAGCTCGACCGATCGGCCGATCTGGAAGACGGTCGTCCCTTGTGCGGTGGTCAGGACCACCTTGTCCATCTCGACCGCCGCGGCGCCCCCGGTGCCGACCACCTGCTGCTGCTCCTGCAGAAGCGCGAGGAGCTG